CTTTATGGACGTTTCCTCACGGAGGTGCCCGCAGGAATAGGAGGGGGCAGGTGCTGCGGCAGTGGGCGTCCAATAAACGCTGTGGAGCGGTTGTGTGGGGGGTGGAACGAGCTGCGTTGTGAATATCGGAGGATGACAGTACAATTTCCGACAGTACAATTCCTTTTACAGGATTACAAATAATAACCTGCTGGGTGGCAGGGCCGGCTAACCAGCAGTGGGCCCTGGTGGCCACTGGGGTCTGCAGGCAGGCTAGCACATGGCCCTGCTCCAAAGAGCTGGTGGTTGAAATTGTTGAAATTTTCCTTTTTGTTGTGGAGGGACACCTGCAGCCCCGCTACCTGCCTTAGCACTCGGTTTCCAAACGGTCTGCTCAGGGCGTGCAGCCACTAGCCACGGGGACACTGAACTGCTCCTGCTCTTCAGGGAGGTTAGTGATTATATGAAGATCAAACACATGCACTGGTCATCTTTAAGTGCAATAATTAGTGAAAATGGCATGTGATAAGGATTGCAGCAGTTTCTTATGTCTCTTATCAAAGTTTCCCGAAATTCTAGCTTTTGTCCCTAACCCTATGTAACAAGATTTTAGGTTACAGGAACCCTGTGGGTTTTTAAGTTGCAGGGAAAAAAAGATAACATATCACGGCATTAATTCCCCACTGGATATGTGTTAAAAACATTGATGTTCGCCACGAGACTGAGGATCTGGGGCTGTGCTGGTCAGGGTTAGCACAGCCCTGTCTGGAAAGCGCTTGAGTTTAGCCTTGAAGATAATCAGCCTCTGCTGTGGGTAGGAAGAGTCATTTTAAAAGCATGCAGTTCTGGAGACGTTCCCTTATTTCCTTTGAGAAAAATCATTGCTCAGGCTGAACCGGTGCTTCTCTTCGGCTTACAAATGTAACATTAATGTTGTGTGTTTTCATTTTTTACGTGCTTAGCAGAGGCTTTTTGCCATGAAAACAGTACAAAAGAATGGTTTTTATCTCTAAAATCAGCGCAGATTGTGCAGAAAGACCAGCACTTACGCAGTAGAGCTTCAACTTGTTGCTTCTGGGTTGGAGGAGGGGGGAAAGATTTTTTTAAAGAAAATTGTACACTTGGCGGGGGGGATTTACTGTGTTTGAGGGGTAGAGCAAAAGCTTAGGGGCCAGCAGTGTGTTGGATGAAGTAGGTGTTGGAGGACATGTCCAGCTAGATGGAGAACACAGGTCTCACGTCACCCTTGTGCTGCTGGAAGGACTAACTTTGCCCTGTCCTGTATGGGCTCCTGTCAGGTGCCTCTGCACCCGCCTTGCTGGGCTAGCACCAACTGCTCCTAACGTACTCATGTCACAAATTGTAAACAACCCTTAAAACTATTCACTCGCGGGCTGTAAACTTCAAAGGGAACTTAAGAACGCTCTTAAAGCCCTTCTTGGATATTTGCCCTCAGCTGTGATTTTGCAGCCTCATTAAATATTTGTTAGGACTGTGGTCCCGTGTTTTGCCAGGCCGAAGCACCACGGAAGGCACATGTACAAAAGCCAGAACTTGTGTGTGGTTCCCACCAAGGGCTCATCCAGCTCTGCAGGTCTCCTGCAAAGGCAGCGAGCAAGAGTTTACTTAGGGATCATCAGAGCTTTATTAAAAGCATGTGTATTTCTTTTCTACATCTCTCAATAAGCAACCATTCTTACATGTTTTGGGGCTGTGTATAATTATAACCCTGAAATACTTCTTTACACATCTTTAAAACGTGCTAATTATTAATATTACTAACTCCAGAGACCTGCATATTCTTTAAATGAATTTCATTTAACAAATAATGTGAGTGTAGTGTGGCTATAAGTACAGCGGTTTCTAAATGTATTTAATCTTGTCGCCATTATAGAAGATTTCAGAATTACTGGTAATCTTTCCTTCTCCTGGGAGATTATAGCTGCTTGCGTAGTCTCATTATTTCAATGACATCTTTGTGCAAAAAACTAAGCAGGGTGACACCAATGATTATTTTTTTACTAGTACTAGGGAATTTGTTTATTATAGTGTATATAATTTTATATACTAAGAAAGGAAACTGTAGATTTTAATGATGTCTACCAATTAAAAAGACTAATACTTGTGAATTAACATACACAATTTATATCGCATCTGTACTTCTCAGAGACTAAAATGAACATATCTCTGTTCTGAACATCATTTCTTTTCTTTGAACTAAACTTTGAGTTTGCAAGTGTGCTCCTGAATGAGACTTCCTGTAGGAAGAGACTCCCAAATCATTGTAAATGTTCATCATCTCAGGATAAAAATATCTTAGGGTTAGAAAGTCTCTCATAATGAAAAGATATATTGGGATAATATAATGTGAGGTCTCATTTTTTTTTATCTGATTAAAATGTATCCCTAAATATCCTGTAGGCTCCCGATGGAGAATCCAAGACCTTCCTGGACGATTAAAGAAATGCATGAATTTTTTTAGCAGGTATAAACCATTCAGAGGTAGGGAATTTTAAAAGAGAGTCTCTGTAGCCGCATTCCCAGCTCCTCCTCACCTTACTTTTCTTGCTCTGCATTCAAAACAGGTTCTGCAGCTCAGCTGGAGCATGGGCAAATTCCCAAGAACAGGAATCTGGGCAGGTACAGCCTCTCGCCTTGGTTTCTGGAGCCCGGTTTATCTCAGGACATTCTCCTTTCCTTCTGCATACTTTCTTTATGAGCCTACTAAATAAACCAGATACGGTCAGTAGCTGATTAACCCCATCCTGCACAGTTTGACATTCGTTTCAAGGAGTCCTCCTTGACAAACGAGGCCAGGGCAGTTGCAGTGGCCAGGCCCTTCGCAGGCCTGGGACTCACTGCTGGGGTGGATGAGGCTCTGCTTCCAGGTCATCATTTTCTGGGAGGTCAAAAAAGTGCAGTTGAGCATATCCAAGCAGATTAGCAAGAAGCCAAGCAGAAGAGCTTCTGTAGCTTCCTTGAAGTTGGTTTGCTGAACTCCATGTTCCAAGAAAAGTTAGACAAAATGTCCAGGAAGGAGCCAGTGATTCCACCCCACGCGCTGTCATAGCTGGGTACCAAGTGGGTCGCACGGCGCGTTCTCCTTCGTCTGCTTTTTAAGCACAAGTTTTAAGTTGGTGTTCTCAGGCCCTTCGCAGAGCGGGAGGCTGAGCTGCCTTGGGTTTCCAGGCCTCCTTCGTTATTTTCCAGTGCCGCTGGATCACTCTGGATTTCCAGAGCTGCTCCAGCTTCAGGGCTATAAAACTGTGTCTTCTACTTGTGCTAACACATAAAGAATAGGGCTTTTCCTCTGAATATTAGTATCTTAAGAATATTTTTATAGGTATCTTGCAAGTCTAATCTTCCAGCTTTTTAGTGGTTGGCTTTTGCTACCAGAGCTCTTCTCAGGTCTTTGTACAGTAAATCACAATATGAAATCTCTGTTTTACCTTCAGCTTAAATTAATCTCCAAACCATCAACTCTTCACTGCCAGAAAACCTATCAAAGAGGCTGAATTAATAAATCAAGCTAAAAATCACAGCAAAAAATGTGACTGCTTGTTCTTTTAAGGTTAAAAACTGTTTAAATATGTGTACTTACAATAATACATGTATAATCATATGGGAACTCTTTTTCCAGTGCCTTCCAGAGTATTCCCAAATGGAGATTCCTGTCATTCTTTTCCCTTGTGATATTTGACTCTGTTTCCCTTCTGCTTTGCCCCATCCTCAAAATATTCTTTCCAGCATAGTGCAAACTAGAAGGGATAAAATGTATTTGTGGATAAGTTAAGTCTTTATTCTAACATCAAACCGCGATAAGCCCTGATAAAAAAAAATAAAACACTTAGTGCATATTTCAGCTGGAAATTGGCTCTGCTCGTCGCATAGCTTGGGTTCATTCCTCAGTAAAGGGCTTGAAGCAGGTGTTGCATAACTCCAAGTATGGCATCATTTATCTTCATACTAGGATCATTTTTAAAGCAATTTCAAGGGTGCTACATGGCAGTCTACAGATGCGCAGGAATAATTCCACAGCTTTGGGTAACTTCACTGCCAAACACCAGAATCCTACATATGAGCAGTGTCTTTGCAGCCATTAGCTGGAGACAAGTAGCTATAAACCTGCTGCAAAAGAAATGAATGGGGAGAGGCCATCTGGTGAGCATCAGCTTGAAAGACCTTCTAGTAAACACTTCACTTTAATGAGTAGGTGTTTGAACATTGCAAGTAACCTAGAGTTCTTATCTTATTATTATTTTGATTTAAAAACAACTTTTTTTTTCTTTTACCTTCACAGAGCTAATACAGCAAAAGAATGGGAGAGATCTGAAGAAATACTTGTCCCTGCAGCTCTCTCCTAAGCAAAAGTTAACCTGTGAAGTCTGTAACTCAAACCCTTCTCTTCA